GAAAGCTGAAATTCGGAAAGATGCGCTGGACTATCGCTCTAAAAACCAGTCGCTCAATGCAGGGCCAAGAATACAGCGTAAGTAACCTCTTTAACCGTTATGATAACCGCGAAGGCCTATCGTTAGCATCTAAACGATCGAACAAAGAAGTAGCTAGAATAATGTCCGCCAGATCTGCTCATATGTTGAAAGTGCATCTTTTCCCAATAGATACCCTATGCTGAAATCCAGAGTAAAGAAAATGGAGTTCTCCTCAGAAAGGATTTGCCTCAAAAACACATGCAGAGATACGCCGAGTCGTGCTATCGTAACCGCCGATGAGAGTACTTCAACGCTATTTTTGGACAGATACTCAAACCTGCTATCTAAACAGACGGTCTGGAGGTCATCGTCCATTACGATCTACAGAGCAAAATAATGAACTCATTTTTTGACGTTGCTGAAGCCGTGTGGATGATGTTACAAATTGCTAACTCATGTCATGGGACAGAAATTAACATATATAAAAACGAATAGAACGGGTACAGAGGAGGGTATTGAGGTACAGAAGTCATCCCGTGACCATGCAAAACAAGGGAGAGGCAACGTTTCCTTACCAACTGCTCGTCGATAATCTCTGACTCAAGGTGTGTTCCGATAAAGTTGTGCATCGCTAGTAGGTTTTTCAGATTCTGCGACGAAGCCACCTCAGCCAACGAAGATTCGCGTCGTCGAAGCTTCATTTCATGCCTCTCTTGAATGCGACGGATATGTGACATTTTCAGGTTCCTGATGTTGAATGCCACCTAAAAAAGAACGATCAGTTACACAGCTCATAGCAGGGCAAACAGTAGAAAAGCGAATATGCCTGACGAAACAACGAGAGGAAAATGTTATATCCTTTCGGAAATCGACCTATGTTACAGTTCCATGCTGGGTACTATTTGATGCAACATTGCTTAAATAGGAATTACCATCGGTAGGGCATGAGAAAACAGTCGTCAGATGGTGAGTTTGAGGCCCATTCGAGTTAAGTGCTTTCCCGTTTTTGAGGTGGATAATGAGTACCACTTCATGGGAAAGAAAACCGGCTATGGCTATCAGAGAGCTACAGAAATTGCACCTTTGTTGACAGCAAAAAAACATAAATTTGTAGTGCACCGCAACCAAATGACAAAAAGGGTGCAACAAACGGCGTCAGTCACGTAACTGTAATGAACTCTGATATCTCAACGGTTACCAATTTTCCGTTTCCTTTTGTTTCATGAAGAATACTGCGCAACGCTGATCCGTTCATATCATCGGCCAGTAGAGTCATATCTTTTCAAGGCAGTGTCTATGGCTTGGTATTCACTTACCGGTGATAACTTGATAGTCTCGTTCAGACTGTCTGATTCTTTCGACTCAAAACTAGATGGGTGACTTCCTGAGAAATGAGGCAAAAATAACAACATTCTTCAATGCAACAAAGTGCCAACTGCGGGCAGAACCACATTTTAAGAAAAGTACTATAACGCCGGTATCTGTCAGACATGGGCCTTAGTGACAAAATTTGAAGATTCGTTCAGTGTGAAGCAGCGGCACGCAAAGTGCTTTGATCAGCCACAGGCTGAGGACCAGGAACATGACGGTAAGTTAAAAGCGAAATTAACAAAAGACGATGGGCAAGTCATACGTCAGCACTGACAGACGACATGAACTTTAACTTAAAATTGAATGGAGACGCCATAACGGCCCAATCGTCATTCTTGCGCTCTGTTTTTAACAGAGAACGGAGATAATATATTTTTGCCATTTTTCGTTGTTCTATTACCGTACGAACTGCATGCTTTCCATGTCTTTTCGGAAACAGTTAAGTAAATGCGTGCGAATCATATTCGCTCTAAAACAGCGTTTGAACGGTTTTCAACAACGAGGCGGATAAAAGAGTACCACTCTGTGTGAAGGAAACAAGAAATTACGCGCTATACTTGCAGCATAGCTGTCATCGACATATATCTTCAAAATCAGGTACTCTTGGCCGATGACATGGATATAAAGTTCAGCATAGTGCCGACCACTGCCTTCATCAAAAAGCGACCCCAGAATGGCCCCATCACGAAAGTGTAATGAAGACCAACATTTCAACAGATGCAAACTTTCCTTGCCGTTGTTTCTGGTAATAGAACTGATGAATACCCACGTATGACGCGACTTCTCACTCAACCGAATCAGGAAACTAACAACTCCTCACACAACAGACAAGCGCAGTGTTCGCAATCAAGCAGAAGTGATTGCCATCAACAACGAAAGTCATTCCCAGAGTAACCAATCAGCGTATCGAACTACCCGTGAAGGAGTGTTTAGGGGAGGGTCCTGCAGGGCCACCTCCGGAAACCAACGTCGTCGGTGATAAGATGCCATCGAAACGCTGCAAAAAACTAAACTACAAGCAGATTTTATGCTGCTTTTGAGAAAGAAGTACTCTGAAAAGACTGCATGCATGATTCACTTGAATGAATGTGATCGATTCACGTTAAATGTTAGTTTCCGAGCCACCAACTGCCGTGACTTGACAGGCCAATGATGCAATGTGCTTGTACACGGTTTCGAAAACCACATGAAGCACTGCTTACCGGTATGGATGTGATTCATTACGCATTCATTTTCGATGCTCCTTAGTGCTCTCGAAAACCGCGGGCAACTGCGTCGAAAGCCTTGGCAAATGATCCTAATTTACCGTCAAATGGACAAGCTCCGTGATCTAGATCGCAAGCCATACAATGCCGTAATTCTGCACAATCGATCACGTGGTATGTACCCTGCCTCTGGTTCGTGTTCCATGTAGCCTTGTCAAGAGAGTTCGTCTTTCAGGTGTTCCTTAGCGCATCATTTCATATGCTCAAACCATCATAACACTGATCTCTCGATTTGGAGCAGGAGCACCTCAAAAGCAAGGGATTCTGAGATTGCCACGTCCAAAGTTTGTCCAACATCACCACACAGTAATCCACAGAAAAACTTCAATCCGGCCGCTTGTATGAGGAATCAAACTCACTGAAACAAAGTCCGGCACCCTTAAACAAGGTTAAGGCGGATATCTAGAGATTTTAACAGGAACATGTTCGCATTACCACTAAACTATTTCTTCTTCAACCATAGGCCGGTTTAGCTTTCGCCCCACAGCGCTCGCCAGATCGATCCGTGTGGATATTTCGATCATGAGTATTACTCTGAAATACATAAACTTCTCTACCCGTCCCAGTTGCATTCCACTAACCTGTACAGCACATTGGGTAATCATTAGCAAGAGTGCAAAAGTTTGGTTTCGGTTAGGCTCAATTTTTCACGTTAATACATAGTGACACCTTGTAATTTTTGTTACACAACGCACCTCTCAGCTCGATAATCGATGAGTCAACGAATTATTAAAATGCCGAACAAACCAGCTTTGTGGGAGGCATTTAGGCACAGCTCTGGCGCTTTTAAAGGTTACACCGTTTTTACGCAGCAAAAAAAGAAAAGCAAGACAAAGAACG